AGCGGCGAAAAGACTTTAGTTCGCCCTGCACAGTTAGAAATAAAGCGTCTTAAAAAGTTTACTTGGCCTAGAAACCTTTGCAATTCCTTTTTATTGCTACGTGGTTTGGCCTCTAAAATGGTCTTCGCTTTATTTTTATCAAGTTCAATCCCTCGTTTGTGTACCAAGAAACCAAGAAAGTTCCCTGAATTAACACCAAATGCACATTTTAAGGGATTCAACTTTAGCTTATATTGCTTTATTCGCTCAAACGAACATCTTAACTGTTCGAAATGGTCCTCTTCTTTAATGGATTTGACCACTATATCATCTACATACACTTCAACGAACTTGCCTATCATATCATGAAAAATTAAATTCATTGCCCTTTGATAAGTTGCTCCTGCATTTTTTAGGTCGAAAGGCATGACCACCCATTCAAAACATCCTAGAGACCCAGGGCATCTAAAGGCAGTTTTGTGTATGTCTTCTTCAGCTATATAAATTTGATTGTATCCTGAATACCCATCCATGAAAGAATACATGACGTGTCCGGCAGTTGAGTCTACTAAAGAATCCACCGTGGGCATTGGATACTCATCTTTGGGTGTAGCTATGTTTAAATTCCTAAAATCTATGCACACCCTTAGTTTACCATTCTTTTTTAGTACTGGCACAATATTGGACAACCATTCGACATACCTGGCTGTTCTAATAAAGCCTGCTTTCAATAATCGCTCTATCTCTTTCTTAATCTCAGGGAGTACATTACGAGCAAAACGTCTAGGAGGCTGCCTATGAGGTTTAAAATTAGGCTTAGCTGGTAACCTATGTTCCACCAAGTCTCTATCGAAACCAGTCATTTGTTCATATTTCCAAGTAAAGCAATATTTATACTCCTTTAGCAAAGCGACTAATTTATCACTAACCTCTTGATCGAGCATCTGGCTGATGAATGTTGGACGATCTTCTCCTTCATTGCCAATATTTACTTTGATCAGAGGGTCTTGTGCTTGAGTGTATCCAGGTTTGATGATCCGCATCACTTCATCGTCCAGTTCCCTTGTAAGTACTTCTTCTTCTAAATAGTCCACCTTGTTGACTTCTCGGCCAATGCTTTGTTCCATCTCGAATACTGCCCATTTGTCTTTCAGTGCTCTTAGGGCTGCCTCTTCTTTCATTTTGTCCTTGCATTCTTTATTGAAAGCCATTAGTCTGGCTTTGAAGGCCTGAATATCGGCCATTTGCTTTTGTAGCTTAGAATCCATTCAAGACTTCTTGATTATTCTTTTACCAATTACTGGCTCTTCTAGGACCACTATATTTGGCCTTATCTGTCTAAACATTTCAGTGAGTGCATCCACTGAAAATGGCTCTTCGCTTTGCGCGACAACTTGAGTTTCGTCCCCATCTTGTACTACCCTGACACGTCCATAGTTTCCTTCGTACATGAACTTTTCCACCGAGTTTGCTTCTGCGACAAAAGGCCTATGATCGGCCTGTACCACCTCTGCTTCACCTTTGTTATTCCAAAAAATCAGGCATTGATGGAGCGATGAGGGTATACAGCGACTTCCGTGTATCCAATATCTTCCTAGTAACACATTGTAACTAGTAGGACCATCTATTACAAAGAAGACTGTGGTCCTAGTAGTTGTCCCTATAGTTATATCCAATGGCATAACTCCCTTAGCTAAAGTTGCTCCTCCATTGAAACTCGTAAGGATGACTTCTGTTGGAATCATGTCACCCTCTGTCTTTGTAAATTTCCTCATCATCCTAGATGGAATGTTGTTTATAGCTGCTCCATTGTCGACAAGCACTTTTGCCACAGGGATTTCGTTAACTAGAGCTTTAACGTACAATGGCCTCAAGTGTTTAGTCAATTTCATGGCTGGCCATTTAAAAATAACCTTTTCGACAGCCTCTATTTCTACTTCCTGCTTGTTTTCTGTCGAATTATCCCCCTGTGATAAGTCAACGTGCAGCATATCGTGCTGAGCCTCTGTCTCCTGAATTTCCTCTTTACTGTTTTCTAATGCTTCCTCATCAGTTACCCAACCTGTGGGAGGGGGCATTATTCTTGGAGGTGATCCATACTTTTCAGAGCGAGACACTCTCTTCTTCCTTTTGGGTTTCCCGTACAGTACATAGAAATCGAAAGGACGTCCAGATGGTTCTCCCAACAAGTCTACTTCCCGAACTCCCTCTCGATGTAGTTGCTTCAACAGAGTATTGTGCAATACTCCTCTCATTCTTCTTTCTGCTTCTAGGTCTATTTCTTCTTCGATGTCTGTCATCCCGTCGTCTTCTTCATCGTTGTAGGCCTCTCTAGAAGTCTGACCTTCTTCACATTCCAGCACGCAAGCCTCTCCTTCGTTGTCCTCCCTTTCTTCTTCTTCTTTTTCTTTATTCTTGAATTCATTGGCCAGTAAGTAATTATTGGCCATGACAGGAGGTAACGTACCGAACTGGATAGTAAGGGGATGATCTGGATCTTCTCCATCCCTTTTGTCTCGCTCAAACTTTGATCTCCCGGAAGAAGTTTCTGGCAGTTCTTTCATTGATTCTTCTGTACCGGTCTCTTCACTATCTTTGAGAACATTTTGATTGGCTACCTTGAGTAGTTTAGGCGCTTTAGGATGTGGCACTCCCTGTTGCTGCCTCATCATTCGTCCATAGTTTCATTGGAAACGCCTTTGTTGGGTTCTAGTCATCTCATTGAAGGGTACTGCCCTTCCTGCATTATACTGGAACGAATGCCATACATTTAACCGGCGAGGTTGCGGCCTGAATGTTCTCCCATTATCTGCTAGCCTGAACTGCCTCTCAAAAGGTGGTCCTCTATAGAATGATGTACCTCGCCCTCTACCAGGCTGAGTGTTTGGGAAGAAAGTAGGGCGATGGGGATTCTGCCATATCCCTGGTTTCTCCGTGTTCCCACTCACATGTCTTTTACATCTTGCACACAGGACGTCTCCATCCTTTTTTGGTTCTTTCCCCTTGATTAGTTCAAAAATACTGGGATGTGGTCTAGGGTCCTCTTCTCCATCATCTATGGCCAACTTGAATTTTGGCAACTTGTTTTTGAAACCAGACGTCACCATGTTCACTCCAAGTAGCTATGGAAAAGGATTTTCATCCACTGCCATCTTCTTCTTATCGTCGAACGTAATTCGTCCTGATTCAATGGCATCCTGCAATACATGGCGAAAAACCAAACAATTGTTAGTCGAATGTGACCATGCATTATGCCACTTACAATATTTTTTACCCTTAAGGGTTTGGCAATTTATGCTTATCGCTCAGCTTTATCTGCTTATCCCTATATAATTTATCAAATATAAGGTCAGCTTTGGTTACATCGAACGAGAACGTACTAGCCTTTATGTTTCCATCTTTCATGGGCTCATCTTTGCCAGATGGTCTAGGCTTAGCCATTATAGGATAAGTATACGTGTCTCCTTTGACTAATTCGGCCAAACACATTTTGGCTTGATCGTATGACTCGTCGCTGATGGTATGAACGTCAAAATTCGGGTCTTTGTAATAAGTCCCTTTACTAGAATTTTTCATCTGCTCTTCTTCTCTTATCAGTCGTTCATACCTAATCACATTCGCACTCAACTGGAAAAGGTCAGGAAATTCCTTGTCTTGGAATTTCTTTTTTAAATCAAAGCTCAAGCAGCCCTTGACAAATTCTTTTTCAGGCAGAGGTATAAAACACTTGCTTCTTGCTGTCTTGAACCTTTGGAGAAAACTTTCTGCCCATTCGTTTGGCATTTGACGTAGATTCGCCAAATCAGTCAAAGTGACTTCAGATTCAATTTTATAAAACTGAGCGTGGAATAATTGTTCCAATTGTGCCATGTTTGAACAGAGTTTGCTGGCAAGTTGATGAACCTAGAGAAAACTACTCCTGTTAATGAACTAGAAAAAAACCTCATTTTATGGTAATCAGTTACATCACCACTTTGTAATGTGAATCGCCCTATGTGTTTTAGAGTAGACACCTCTCCTAAACCGGTAAACAGTGAGAATTCTGGCACTTTATACCCTCTAGGCCATGGATATGCTTGGTCTACCCAATCAGGATGTGGCTTTGTGTAAGTCGGCCTAATGACAGGACGCATCCCAAAAGCCATCTGATCCTATACAATTTTCATAATCTGATTCCTCAACATGACGTTGGGGTCATATGGAATTCCTATAGGTTGGTTAACCGGTTGATTTGCATGAGGCCTGATGTTTGGTCCTTGATTGGCAACAAAGTTACCATGATTAGGGCCATTACCATTAGCCTGAACGTCTATTCCCTCATTAACACGTGGGATATTTTGTCCATTGTTTAGGACATTATCTCTTACATTTGGATTACCCTCCAAGTTAGACGTACCATTACCATTGTTCTGATTTAGCACTGCACCAGCCCCTTGGTTTGAAGTAGAGGGACCAGAAAGTGGCTCTATCCCTTGATTTGGATTTAGGACTGAGGGATTATGTCCCACAATTGTCCTAGTTTGAAAGTGGTTTGCAAGAGGCATAATCGATTGACATATTTGGCCTACTAACTTATTCATTATTTCGTTCAAAGTGTTTAGTTGTTTGGCCATGTTGTCATAATGTGCATTCTCATTTTGGGTAAATCTTTCAATATTATGAATATTTCGAAGATTTACCTGTTCAACAACATCTTGTGTGAGTTCTCCAAGTAGTGCACGCATAGTTCGAGAACTCAACTCTGTCAATGGTTCATAACGACTGTTATTACTCTGATTCTGTCCATCTATTCGTGGAGAGGCATGGTGCTCCTCATATCACTCGATCATAGACTGGATTCCTCCCTGGCTTGCTGCTTCCTTATCGGATCTCTGAGGCATATTGTTTCACCTTTTGTATTTTCAATACCAAACACCACTGTCCCACTAGGCGTGCCAAATTGTTTCGCGCGGGTTCGTCGCTAACAATTAAAAAGGGATCAGACGATTGAAAAGTGCATCGAGGATGGCAAAGAGAAGGATATGGAGAAGGTGGAAGGGAAGAAAAGGAGAAGAGACAAACAACAGAGTAAGGGTGAGGATTACATAGTGAATGATATGCAGAAGATTGAAACAAAGAAAAGAGGAGATAAAAAGAAGAGCAAAGGTGATTTTATTACTGAATCTTCTGTAGATGCTAAAACTGGCAATGATTCCACAAAAAGTAAGATATGGGATAGTGAGGAGAAAAGTGAAAGAATGGTTGACAGGTTCGTCGAGGTACAAGACGAATGGTTGACAGGTTCGTCGAGGTACAAGAGGAATGGTTGACAGGTTTGTCGAGGTACAAGACGTGGATTTTGATGAGTTGATAAGATAAAGCAGCAGAAGAAGATAAGGAAGAATGAAACTGAAATGTGCACAGCAATTTGTCTTGATAGAAGAACTTATAGATGCTAAGGGAAAAGTTCAATCAACTATGGAGAATTCTATTGAGAGGAATGAAATGAAGAAAAAGAAGAGGAAGAAAAGGAGAGAAAAACCTGAGGATAATCTATCTGCTACTTGGCAAGATATGTTGACACTAGATTCTGTATATAGTGGCCGTAATTTTTCAGTTAACTATGGATTAGAATCACGAGGAAGAAAATGACAATAAAGGAAAGACGAAAAAGGATAAATTAGTGGGAAATGGTTCAAATGATCCTCAACCAAGAAAAAGTAGCAAGAAAGTGAGATTTTCTGGTCGTGTTGAGGTTTTTCCTGCATCTGATGATTCAAATTCTGGGGAGGGAGACAATAAGGGAGAGAAACTGGTGCAGGGTAAGTGGTTTACACAAGCAGAAAATGAAATTGTTAAGAAGGCTGTCTATAGGTACATAGAGGTTCATGACTTGGGGGAAGAAGGTTTGTACGTAATTTTCAATGGTAGAAAGTACCCTGAACTGAAAAACTGTTGGAAGGAGATGGGGAATGCGATACAATATAGGCCCCATAGTGCTTCAAAATTGTTTCAAAGTGCTGAGGAACCCAGATGGACTCAAGAAGAGTATGAAATGGTTCTGAAGTCCCAGAAGGAGTATGGGAACCAGTGGAAGGCATTGGCAGATGAACTTGGGAAACATAAAACACATGTAAGAAATGCTTGGCTAAGAAAAAAATTACCCAACTTGAAGAAAGGAAGGTGGTCTCAGGAGGAGTACCAGGGTTTATTTGATCTAGTAAATGCTGATCTGCAACAGAGATTCTATGAAGAGGAGAGATCGAGGCATGGCATGTTACGGGATAATATTTGTTGGACGGCAATTAGTGATAAACTGGCCACTCGAACTCAACCCAAGTGCTGTATTAAATGGTATAGTCAGTTAACATCAACTATGGTTGCTGAAGGTATATGGGCTGATGCTGATGACTATCCCCTAAATGGTGCTCTTTTTAGCTTAAATGCAAGTTCCGTAGAAGATGTGAATTGGGCTAACCTTCTTGATCACAGGTCTGGAGACGTGTTGGAACCAAATGGTTCTTCACATAGGTCATCATGGAAGCAAGTCATTTGCTGAACAAGTTGAATTATTGGCACATCGATATTGTTCATATCTACTTGAAGCAAGAGAAGCCTGGGACAGTATTGTTATGGAAATGTGAAGTTTGATATCTCCAAGATGGAGAATATAATGAATGTTTTGTACTAGCCTCTCAATTCTGCTGTGGACAATAGAAAATGGATCATCATTTTCTTGTCACAAATAAAAGAAAGCATTCATATAGCAGACCCTTATTGGGGAAAAGTTTAGATTTTTTATTTTTATCGTATGAGGCGACTTTCCACCAAGAAATATTGTACGCATGTTCAAATTTAACGCAATGATGGCTGATGGCAGACGACGGAGCTTCAAAAAATCACTACAACAAAATCTAATTCTTCAAAAATTCATTCACGTTGCTGCCCTTATATTTTCAGACTGCAAAAAGAAATCTAATGCAGTCAAAGCAAATTGATCTCCCTTGGGAAAGAAGTTATGAATAAATTTGAATAAATTATCTATAAATTTGCCAAAGGCAGAATCACAGATAATTTATTTGGTGGCTTCGAGGTTAACTAATGTGCTCACTCAATTTCGTCGAAGGATCAATTGTATCATCATATGCGCTCGCTCAATTTCATCAAAGAATCTAATGATCGTCTCCCATGGCACGTGGAGTGGCGTCACAATAGACAATTAAAGCTAAAATATGAAAGTTGCATTATATCTTCTCCGAGAAAGGCCATGATATTGCTGTCATTAAAATAGAGAACTAAAGCTTTTGACAATTAGAGCACTAGTGGAAAATTTATCCCAATACAAAGCCGTATCAAGGCAATCAAAGTTCATATTTCACACAAAAAAATAAAATAATAAAATGAACTTTTTAGATTCTACTTTCTTCCGCTCCTATGTTCAAACATCATCTTTTCAGCTTCTTTTGTCTTCCTTCTTAGTGTTTGCCTCTGATGTCCATGTAGAAGAAGCTCATATAGAAGAAGCTCAAAGTCGAAAAATCAAAATTTTTGACACCTTTTGTGAGGTATTAGAAGAAATACGCCTTTTACCTGGCAGTCATAAAAGTAACAATGGCCAAGGCAAGAGACGCTTCTTACAAGAATTTCTTTAATGAACTCATAATTCTTCATTGCCTGAAATTTCATGCGGCAGTAGCTGTTAGCAACTCGATTCCAAGAAACCGAAGAAATATAAATGTAATGGGTATTTTTTTCCCCCCAAAAAAAAAAAAAAAAAAAAAAAACCCAATCAACGCAAAAATTAGATAGAACGGTTTAAAACTGAATGAAGATAAGTGGATACTTGAACGTTCGTGTTAACTATATTTTGTCCCATGTACTATATATGGTTGAGCATAATTTTGCCTATATTACCCCTGACCTAATTGGAGGTGGCTTTTTAGGATTTCTATATAGATTTCAAACTCATCTCTATCACGTCATTCAATATTTTACCTTTGAATTTCCTTTTCTTGTTTGCTCTTCTCCTCTTTCTCTCCGCCTTTGTTAGCTCTGTTTCTTCTTTAACATCTCCTTTGCCAGCAAACAATTCCTCAGGAGCAAGCATAGCTGCATCAGAGACCGCTAGAGGTGCAATCTACCAACGAAATTATTTTAACTATTATAAAAGAACTTATTTGCTTAATGCAAATACCCAAAATATTCCATAGACTATTTACCTCTTCCATAGCCAGGGCAGGAACATTTGCTTGCATAGACATGTCCTCAATAACTATTGAACTAAATAGTATAGGGTTATTTAAGTCATTTTGTATTGCATTTGTTAGATACGGTTGTGCATAAATACTGTACTGAGACTTCACTTTGTAATGAGAAAATTTTCCCGCCAGTTTGTTCTTCTCTCCAGAATCTTCTTCATTGCTAGTTTCACATGGTATCAGAGCAGGTGAAGCTTCCCTGCAATGGCGATGGAGTCTAACAATCAGGAAGAGATCCAGAATCAAGTTGATAACACCGATTCATCATCTCATTTATCTGCCGACGAGGTAACTCATCTTGCTGATCAGTTGATTAGAGATCCAAACAATCCGTATTATCTTCATTATGGCGATAAAACGGGAATGCAGCTCGTATCCGTCATGCTCACAGAAGAGAACTATGCGACGTGACACTTAGTGTTAAAAATAAAGAAGGTTTTATTGATGGATCGATTACTAAACCTTCTACAGATGATCCACTCTATAGCGCCTGAAGTGAAGATGTTGTACATGACATCATATAATCAAGTGGCTGATCTTTTAACCAAACCTTTAGCAGGAGCACGGTTTAAGCTGTTGTTAGGCAAGATGGGAGTGTTGAATATCCACTCTCCATCTTGAGGGGGTGTATTGAACTAAATAGTATAGGGTTATTTAAGTCATTTTGTATTGCATTTGTTAGATACGGTTGTGTATAAATACTGTACTGAGACTTCACTTTGTAATGAGAAAAATTTCCCGCCAGTTTGTTCTTCTCTCTAGAATCCTCTTCATTGCTAGTTTCACAATAACCATTTTGAGTTGATTAGATAAAAATAAAATTCAAACCTGCTTCAGAAGTTGATAAAACTTTGGTAAAGTTGGGTCATATTACAATTAGCAAGAAGAGTACCGGTTTTGGAGTGATATGGAAATGAGATGGAGCATCCAACTTCAGACACAGTTTCTTGAATAACATGCTTGCCTGAGAAGGGAAAAAAATTAATAAATATAATATAAATAAATAAAGAGACCTTCTCATTGACTAATTTGAAGAAAATATTTACAAATTTACCTAGATTCAGTGAAGATAATAAGACAATTACTGTTTATGGGCACAACCGAAAATATGAACGACAAATACACTATATAACCAAAAAACAATAAAGAGTTATACGTTAACTATATAAAACATATGATCTGAGAGGAACAAAATGGCAACAAATAAAAAAGAAAAGTTCTACGAACGCACTTCTTTCTTTTGCTCGTCTTTGAAAGACATTGCTGTTGAAACTAGGCCAGTCTTCTGAACATATACATCCAGCATAAACATAGGGAAAAACATCCCATATAATTGTGATGAAAATATACATAAAAAGAAAAGGCTCACATTGTCAAAAAAGTTCATATAATATTACAATATGAATGTATTCATCACAAGCAAGGAAAAATAAGCAAAACTACCCTCTGAAAAGATACTAACCTCATAAAGTTCAGCAAGGCCCTTTTCACTCTTATTCTCATCCTGTATATTTGAAGTTGATGGAATTAGGAAAAAAATCAACTCCAAAGAGAAAGATGATTTAGAGTAAATGAAAAACATGCCAGTTCGATTTTTTCTCTTGGAGATTTGGATGGTAAAGTAAGGGGCTTCTGGACATCATCAAAACGCCCCTATATATGGTACCACCATGGATGATGATTCAGTGAGAAACAATTATAAGAAATAACAATTAAAAAGGCATAAATCTTAGAACTACACAATCAGGAAAAAGAAACAGATTTTTCTCTTCTGTTTTTAGTCTTTATCTTCCTTTTATAACCACCTTTTCTTGTACCACATGACACGATGAGCATAGATAATTTCCTACAACTGCACCACCCCCAACAAGGATAAAATTTCCCCTACAGCCTCCCTTGAACCAAAATCCTTTAGCATGTGAATTTTGTGGTGGAGCAAAGATGGAGAGGAAAAAAACCCACTTTTTCTTTGTGAAAGTTTAGCATGTCTATTATCTCAATCATGAGATAATAACCCAAATGATCACTGAATTTTGCAAAAAGTTTTCAAGAGGTCAATGAACTCTAAAAATCACTCAAGTTATTACTGAACTTTGTAAAATATTTTCTTGAGATCACTGAACTTTACAAATCACCACAGTCATCACTGAACTTTAAAAATCACCCCATTCATTACTAAACTTTGTAAAAAAATTTTACGAGATCACTAAACTTTGTAAAAAATTTCCTAGAAGATCACTGAATTAGTGATCCTTGGGAAACTTTTTGCAAAGTTTAGTGATGAATAGAGTGATTTTTAAAGTTCAATAACCCCGTAGAAATATTTTGCAAAATTTAGTGATGACTTGAGTTATTTTTAAAGTTTAGTGACCTTGTGGAAACCTTTTGCATTTAGTAACTACTTGGGTTATTATCTCCCTCAAACATACAAGTTGATAAATCATAAGAACATGCAATAAATCTTCATTAGTAGAGCTACATCCATACATAACGAAATTCCAAATCATGGATGGATATCAAATTTCACCTCAAGGATTCGTTTTTGAATTAACTCTTCAAGGGATGCAGTGACCTCTTCAGTTATTACAGGTGCAGGTCTAACATTGTGCTCAAAATCCAGATCAACTTCCAATGCACTAATATTTGGTCTTTTAGCTGCTGTTACCTGGCATAATTCAATAAACAATTGAGAGGTGAACACTGTCATAAATGCATAAGTCGAAAGCTGTGAAAAAAAATATTTTAGAAATTGAAAAATAGTACCTCCCCCGGCATTGTCCAGGTTTTTGGGTCTAAATTCGCTTTCTCCATCATCTCTATCTCAGAACGGAGTTTCTCTAGCTCTTTTTCATGGGTAGAAAGAGTATTTTTCTGTAAAACAAAACAGTTTTGAGTACCTCAATTGGTACGAAGGGTAGGCAACAATTCTTGAACAACTCCCTATCGATTTACACATTATATGTTTTGATCTACACCACACATACAAATATAGAGGGTGGTTGGATGCTATAAAAATATAAATTACCTGATTATTGTTGCCATAGTCCATATCTGAATCATTGGATCTACCAAATACTTTAGGTTTCTTCCCCTGACCAGTTCTTTTACCACCAAAAAATTCCTCGTACCTGAATGGAACTGACATGAGCAATCTTTGAGATGTGTATGTACATATACTTGTAAAACCAACACCAAAGAGATATTTCAACCCTTAAATTCAATAACACAAGCCAGATTTCTCATCAAATTATTGAATCTGTCAAAGTTTTAAATGGTTTTTTAAGTGAGAATCTTTTAAAAA